AGGCCTGAGAAATGGCTGCTCTAATCCACCTGCTGATGGTGGCCGGAGAGACCTTGGCCCCCCGGCTGGATGGCTGGTAGGACACAAAGAGGGCCTCCGAACGCTTAAAGAGAGCCGTGCGCTTCAGGTATATGCGCAAGGCTCTTCTGACGTCCGATTTGTGCCAGGATCTCTCCCTCTCCCTGGAGAGTTGGGGACAGAAATCCGGCAGAACTATCTCTAGGGCCCTGTGAAACGGGGAATTGACCTTGGGCATGAACGCGGGGTCCAGTCTGAGGATGACCCGGTTCTCTAGAAAGGTGCAGAGAACCACTCTGCTGGAGAGAGTGTTGATCTCAGACACTCTCCTGGCTGAGGTGATGGCAACCAGGAAGACGACCTTAAAGGTCAGAAACTGAAGGGAAACCTCCCTCAAAGGTTCAAACGGTGCCTCCATCAAGGCCTGGAGGACTATGGGTAGGTCCCAGGTGGGGAATCGATGGACCACTGGGGGTTTCAGATTCGCCGCCCCCTTAAGGAAGCGCCTTAGGACCGGATGTTGGGACAAGGGAGGAGCATTCACTCCCTCCCCCCAGGACCGTAGAGAGGGCGGAGACCTGTCTTCTAAGGGTGCTGGTGGCCTTCTCTTGTCCCTCCTGGAGGAAATCCAGAACCTGTGGGACAGAGGCCGAAGCTGGGCGGAGACCCTTAGCTTGGCACCAGTCCGCGAAGGCCGCCCAGGAGGCCTTGTAAATGCGAGTGGTGGACTGTCTCCTGGACGCCTCCACTGTCTTGATGACGCTCTCGGAAAAATGAGCCTCTCTCAGCTGTTCCTGCTCAATCGCCAGACGGTCAGATGAAGCCACTCTGGATCCGGGTGCTCCAGGGACCCCTGGTGCAGAGACACCTCCCCCGCTGGGATCCTCCAGTGAGGGGCTGAGGACAGATCCACTAGGTCTGCCAGCCAGGGGCGGCGAGGCCAGAAGGGAGCCACCAGAATGACCTCCGCTCCCTCTGCCACCACCCTCCTCAGGACGCTGGGGATGAGTGGAAGGGGGGGAAAGGCGTAGAGAAGACCTGGTGGCCATCTGCATCGAAGGGCGTCCGTGTCCATGGCTCCCCTGGCCAGGAACCTCGATATGAATTCCGGCAGCTGGGGTCGCGAAGAGATCCACCGTCGGGTGTCCGAACCTCTCGCAGATCTGTTGGAAGATTGAGGGATGAAGCTGCCACTCCCCGTTGTCGATCATCTCCCTGCTGAGCCAATCTGCCTGCTGGTTCTCTGTTCCAGAGATGCGCTCCGCTCTGATGGACTGCAGGTGTCTCTCTGCCTAGTTCCCCAGTTGCAGGGCCTCGTCGCGAAGAGCCTTGGAATGGGTGCCGCCCTGCCTGTTTACATGGGCCTTGGCTGCCACGTTGTCCGTCAGGATGAGGACATGATGCCCGGTCACCGTGTTCTTGAAGTGACGAAGGGCCAGGTGGATGGCCCTGAGCTCCATCCAGTTTATGTTGTTGCGCTGGAGTCCAGCGGCCCTCGGCAATCTGGTTCTCCAGGTGAGCCCCCCCAGCCGAAGAGGATTGCGTCTGTGGTGAGGATCCTTCTTGCTGGTTCTCTGAAGAGGCATCCCCTGTTCAAGGCTGGGGACAGCCACCAACGGAACGAGAGCAGCACCTGGGGTGACACCCGAACCTTGAAGCTGGCATCGCTCATCCTGGCTCTCTGGTGTGGGAGTAGGAACCACTGGAGCTCCCTGGCGTGTAGTCGGGCCCATGGCACGATCCCTATGCAAGAGATGAGAAGAACTACAGGGACAGAGCGTAACTTGCGAACTTCATGAACCAGTTTTACAATGCTGTCCTTTCGTCTTGGGAAAGGAAAACCTCCCCAGCCACTGAATCTATAATGGATCCTAGGTGCTGGAGCCTGGTGGATGGGACCAGATGGCTCTTCTCCAAATTAATGGAGAATACCAGGCCCTGAGGGTGTCGATGGTAGTCCCCAAGTCCTGTTTGGCAGACTCTGGGGACCTAGTTAAGACAAGGATGTCGTCTAAATAACAGAACAAATGGACTGGGAGGGAGCACAGGTGGCCTGTGGCTGCAGCTAGCACCTTGGTGAATGTCCTGGGGGCTGAGGCCAGCTCAAAGGGAAGAGCCCTGTATTGGAAGTGGTTGCCCTCGTGGGAAAACCTAAGGAATTTGTGGTGTTCCGGGGCGATTCTGATGTGCAGGTATGCCTCGGTGAGGTCAATGGAGGCTAGGAAATTGCCTGGACAGATGCCCTCTAAGATGGACTTTAAGGAGGCCATTTTAAACTTGCGGTAGACAACCCTGGAATTGAGGAGTTTAAGATCCAGGATGGCTCTCCACCCCCCTGAACTATTGGGGACTAGGAAAAGGTTTGAGTAGAAGCCGGATCCCTTCTCCCCCTCTGGGACCCTTTCAATAGCCCTGATCTCTAGCAGGTGCTTGATGGCCTTAGCCTTAAGGGCCCGCTTGGTCGGATCTGTGGAGGAGGCAAAGGTGCGGAACCTACTAGG